TTGGTTGGTTGTGTTGTGTTTGTTTTGGTTTTGTTTGTGTTGGTTGTGTGGTGTTGTGTTGTTTGGTTGTGTTGTGTTTTGTTTTGTTGTGTTGTTGTGGTTGGGGGTTTTGTTGTGTTGTGTTTGTTGTGTTTTGGGTTGTGGTTTTTTGTGTTTGAGTGGTTTTTTGTGGTGTTGTTGTGAGGGTTTTGTTGTGTTTGGTTTTGTTTTGGGTTTTGTGTTTGTGTTGTGTTGTGTTGGTTGGTTGGTTTTTTTGGGGGGTTTTTTGTGTTTGGTTGTGTTGTGGGTGTTGTGGGTTTTGGGTTGTGTTTTTTTGTGGTTTTTTTGTGTTGGTTTTTTGTTGTGTTTGTTGTTTGGTTGGGGTTTTTGGTTTGTTGGGGTTGGTTGGGTGTGGTTGGTTTTGGTTGTTTGTTGGGTTTTTTGTTGGGGTTGTGTTTTTTGTTTTGTTTTGTGGGGTTTGTGTTGTGGTTGGTTGGTTTTGTTGGTTGTGTTTGGGGAGTTTTTTTTTGTTGGATTGGTGTGGGTTTGTTGGGTTGGAGTTGGGTTGTGTTGTGTTGTGTTTTTGTGGGTTTTGTTTGTGGTTGTGTTGTGTTGTGTTTTGTGGGGGTTTTGTTTGGGGTTGTGTTGTGTTGTTTGTGTTTTTGTGAGTGGTGTTGGTTGTGTTGTGTTGTGTTGTGTTTGTTTTTTGGTTTGGGTTGTGTTGTGGGGTGTTGTGTTGTGTTGTTGTGGGGGTTTTGGTTTTTTGTTTGGGTTGGGTTTTTTTTGGGGGTTTGGGGTTTTTTTTTTTTTTTGGGTTTGGGGTTTTTTTTTTTGGGGGTGGGGTTGGAGGGTTTTTTGTTTGGGGTTTGTTGGTTTTTTATTTGGGTTGTTTTTGGTGTGTTGGTTTTTTTTTTGGTTTTTTGGGGTTTTTTTGGTTTTTTTTTTTTTGTTTTTTTTTTTTTGTGGGGGGTTTTTAGGTTTTGTTTTTTTTTTTTTTTTTTTTTTTTTTTTGTTTTTTTGTTTGGGTTTGGGGTTTTTTTTGGGGTTTTTGTTGTTTTTGTGTTTTTGTGTTGTTTTGTTGGTTTTTGTTTTGTGTTGTGTTTTTTTTTTTTTTTTTTTGTTTTTTGTTTGGTTTTGTTTGTTGGGTTTTTATTTTTTGTTGTTTTTTGGTTGTTGTGTTTTTGTGTTTTTGTTGTTTGTGGTGGTGGTTGGTTTTGTTTGGTTTTTTTTGTTTTGGTGTTGTGTTTGGGTTTTTTGTTTTTTTTTGGGTTGGTTGGTTTTGTTTGTGGGGGGTGTTGGGGGGTTTGTTTTTGGGGTTTTTGGGTTTGTTTATTTTTTTTTTATATTTTTTTTTGTTTTAACCCCCCCGCCTCCCCACTTTTGCAACCCACTTTTTCCCCTCCATGAACAAAACCTCTTCAAAGCTGTGTAGGGAAACCCCCTCCACAAAATTCCTTCAAAAAACTATTTCCATTTCCTAAAAACTCTGGACTGAAGAAATACTTCCAAACACCCCTGTGATCGTTTTGGGGGCCCCGGTGGTTGGTGCTAAAGCTCCCGTTCACACAGGGAGGGCCCGGTTTTTCGATTCCCGCGGGTGGAAACATTCGACACGTCCCTTACCCCTGTTGTCCTGTTCACCTAGAGCAAATAGGACCGGGGTTAGTCGAGGGGTGTGGGTGGCATCCTGGGGCAAGATTAAGGACCACAATGGAAAAAATTGACAGTCCTCGAGACGCACTGACTTTCTTGGTTACCTGGGTGGCACCCCCCGGGGGTTTAAAAATCCGACGAAATCTTATCTTATCTATCTTACCTTTCCCAACTCCCGACACCTTGTTACTGTGTCCCCCTGGAACCCTGCCCCTGTCCACTTATTTTTCCTGTTGTCAAGTCAATTTCCCTTTAAACCTTCTTTGTAGGACTGCCTCTAGCAGGGGGATATCTTGTTCAAACTTTGCACTTTCTCTAATTTTTGACTTGCTTGGCCGATGGGGTTTTCCCTACTGGTGCTGCTACCCAGTAGGGTCCTGACGTACACGGTGTACAGTGTCGGGAAAGATTCCTTACTGAGATGTTGCAGCGTCTTTCAGGTTTTTAGGTGCCCATATGCTGCAGCGTTATTTTTGGGTTTATGTTTCCACAGGAGTGTGCTTGTTTTTTTTACTTACCCCAAGATCCTTTTCCCTGAGTGATGTTTGCGTCTTTGGCCACCTGAGTATACTTTTTCGTGGTTTTCTTTCCCCCCCTTCCCAAATTTTGATTTGCACTTGGGGGGATTAAATCCAGGGGCCAGTTACGTCCAGATCCCCTTTGTAATCCTGCCTGATCCTCATCTCGAAATTCTTCCATTGTCTATATTGTCTGCAAAAAAGGATACCCCGAATTTCTCTTCCCCCATCTCTTCACATTACCGAAACAACACCCGGGCCCAAAGACTGTCCCGTGGAACCCCCCTCGTCACCTACCCTTGCTTGTTGTTACCCCCCTGAGCCACAACAGTGCCTTTCCCCATTTATCTTGCCCCTCCAAATTTTGCTCATTCTTGTGTGGAACTTTTCGAAATTTTCTTCAACCAAGAAAATGCAACTTCCCACTCTCTTTTTCTTGTCACTTCTGTACTCGTCATAAAACTCAGTTTGTGACACGGGATTTCCCTTTCCCTTTAAACAGTACCGGGTTTCCCTTTATAAAGCTTATTTTCTTTTTGTGTTTCACCGTTTTCTCCTGAAATTTTCTCCATAAATTTCCATACCCTGCACGACAGTGCCTGCTCTCTAGTTTAATGCTGCATGTTGTTTCCCTTTATAAAAAACTGGGATACACTTGCTGTCTTTCCCCACCTCAATAGTCGCCCTGTTTCAGTAAATGTGGGGAAAAATTTTGTTTTGGGGACACACAGTGCCTTTGCGCCCTCTCTCAGGATCCTGGGAGGTGTCTGGTCTACCACCTTTGGGTTCTAACCCCTTGTCCTTCCTTCCTCCCAGTTTTGTGTATTGGTCCAGCATTGTCGGGTTTCTGGAACCCTTTTTGTTCCACGAAAAACTTTTAAATCTCGCTTGAGCTCCTCACATATTTCTCGGTCGTTTCTTGTGATATTCCCTCCTTTCTTCCTCAGCCTGATTACCTTGTCTTTGACTCTTGTATTCCTTCAGGTCAGATTTGGCTTTCGGTGCTATGTCGTTTTCATATTAGGCCTCCTTCCTTATCCATGCATATTCATTTCTGACTTTTCGGCAATTCTCCTTATTTTCCCGGGTCCTTTGTTTTCTATACTTTTTCCATTTTCTAGTACACTTAGTTTTGGCCTCTCTACACCTTTGGGTGAACCAAGGGCTCGTTCTGGTCTTCCCATTGTTTCTGTTGTTCGTTAGTATGACCCTTTCCTCTGTCGGCTTGCATTTTCAGGTCATGTATTCCATCATTTCATTTACTGATTTTCCTACCAATTCTCTTTCCAATTGAACCTCATGCATTAAATTTCCCATGGTTGTGTAGTCCCCTCTTTTGTAGTTTGGCCTCTCCCGTCCTACACGTCCTGTTTTTCTCTCCATTTGTAATTCTAATATGTATTCAAAGGTCATGACCATGTGATCTCTATCTCTGAGGGTCTTTTGTATCTGATGTCCTTGATGTCTGAACTACTCAAGGTGAATATGAGGTCCAGCCTTGCTGGTTCATCCTCTCCTATCTCTCTCTCTGGTAGTGTACCTAACATGTTGATGCATGAAGTTTTCCAGTGCTACTTCCATCATCTTAGCTCTCCATGTTTCTGCCCCCTCCCATGTGGATCTAGGATTCCTAGTCAGTTTGTTCGTGATTGAAACTGTAATAAAGTTGGTAGAATTGCCGACAATATGTAAAATAAAAGGACACAAGTGCAACTAATGTGACATTTTATTGTGGCAACGTTTCGCTCTCCAGGAGCTTGATAAAGCTCCTGGAGAGCGAAACGTTGCCACAATAAAATGTCACATTAGTTGCACTTGTGTCCTTTTACTTTAGTGATTGAAATTACCCACAACAAGTAATTTTGCCCTACCCATGTAGGCCATTCTGGCCACCGTAGCTAGTGTGTTGACAGTTGCTCTGATGCTCTCATCATATTCTTGTCTTGGTCTCCTGCTATTCTGTGGAGGATTGTACATCGCTGCAATCACCACGTTGAGACCCCCAGTCCGAAGTGTTCCTACTTTGCAGTATCTTGCTTCCTTTCTCTCCATTCCTTCCATACCCTTAAAATTCCACTGGTTTGTGATGAGCAGTGCAACCCTTCCTCCACCTCTCTTTCTTACATTTGTTATTCTGTTATTCAGTCCTCAATGGTGTACCAAACCTTGAGCTTCTTTTCCAACACTGTGGTTTGGGGGTTTGTGGTGGCTGGAGAAGTGGGAGTCCTGGCAGGAGACTATGGGAAGCTGCTGTGTAGGTGAGGTTTGTGATGGGGGGTGGGGGCTGTAAGCAGTGAGTGTGGGTTGTTTTGGGTTAGTTTGGTTGTGGTGGGGTTGTCGGGTTTGAGGGTGTTCTGTGGGTGGTTCTGAGGGAGGTTTTGTTTTCTGCTCCTAATTCTGGGCTCCCCTGCCCATCTCTGTCCTTGACTCTCTTTCCTGCCCCTTATGTTTTTGTATCGTCTCGGTTTCTGTCATTCTTCTCATGTTCTGTTGCAGTCTAGGTACACTTGCTGGTAATTTGATAAGCCCTTAGTCGTGATTACTGCTGCAGGATCCTGTTTTGCACCGTTTCTGACTTGATAATCAATTAGACTGGGCATTTTTCCCCCTTGAGTATCCCCCCAGTCTCTGAAAATTTGTCAGCTGGGTTATGTCTTCCTTTCTTGTCCTTTCATGGTATTTTCAGTATCTTTTTCCTCCCATGTCATCTTCGTATGCTGTCCCTTCGGGTTTCTGAACCCAATGTACAAAGACTGTTGTGTCTGTTGTCTGTGTGTGTTGTGTGTATTGTATGTGTCACTATATCAACCCTTGTGAACATGTTTCTGACCACTTGTCTTCTCTGTACAGGTCCGCGTGTCAGTATGCCACACATCAGCTTCAGAGACATGGGTAACCTTGTCCACCAGGCCACCATAGCTGTTAATGAGAGGTTTGACTCTATAGAACCTGCCATCTATAACAGTGGTAAGTGAGATAGCTCTATTTGGCTCTAACTCTCTGTTGCTCTCTCTAACTTGCTCTAGGTCTTTCTAGTCTTTGTTTCTCTATATCTAGTGTCACTTAATGTCCACAGTGTAAGTTTAAGTGTCAGTGTCATAAAGTGTCAGTGAGTGCCATTGTATGCCCACAGGTGCCCGTCTAGTGCCCGGTAGCCCCGCCTGGTTTATGGCAGCCTCTCACAAGACTAAAGTGGTAGCCAAGAATATTTCAAGAATAGCACTTATATCAGAAGAAGCTACCAGATATACTGCCCAACAGTGAGTATGTTACTGTTGTACTGCCCAACAGTGAGTATGTTACTGTTGTACTGCCCAACAGTGAGTATGTTACTCTTGTACTTCCCAACAGTGAGTATGTTACTGTTGTACTGCCCAACAGTGGGTATGTTAATATTATACTGCCCAACAGTGAGTATGTTACTGTTGTACTGCCCAACAATGAGCATGTTACTGTTGTACTGCCGAACAGTGAGTATGTTACTCTTGTACTTCCCAACAGTGAGTATGTTACTGTTGTACTGCCCAACAGTGAGTATGTTACTGTTGTACTTCCCAACAGTGAGTATGTTACTGTTGTACTGCCCAACAGTGAGTATGTTACTCTTGTACTTCCCAACAGTGAGTATGTTACTGTTGTACTGCCCAACAGTGAGTATGTTACTGTTGTACTGCCAAACAGTGAGTATGTTACTCTTGTACTGCCCAACAGTGAGTATGTTACTGTTGTACTGCCCAACAGTGAGTATGTTACTCTTGTACTGCCCAACAGTGAGTATGTTACTGTTGTAACTGCCCAACAGTGAGTATGTTACTCTTGTACTGCCCAACAGTGGAGTATGTTACTCTTGTACTGCCCAACAGTGAGTATGTTACTGTTGTACTGCCCAACAGTGAGTATGTTACTCTTGTACTGCCCAACAGTGAGTATGTTACTGTTGTACTGCCCAACAGTGAGTATGTTACTCTTGTACTGCCCAACAGTGAGTATGTTACTGTTGTACTGCCCAACAGTGAGTATGTTACTCTTGTACTGCCCAACAGTGAGTATGTTACTGTTGTACTGCCCAACAGTGAGTATGTTACACTTGTACTTCCCAACAGTGAGTATGTTACTGTTGTACTGCCCAACAGTGAGTATGTTACTCTTGTACTGCCCAACAGTGAGTATGTTACTGTTGTACTGCCCAACAGTGAGTATGTTACTGTTGTACTGCCCAACAGTGAGTATGTTACTGTTGTACTGCCCAACAGTGAGTATGTTACTCTTGTACTGCCCAACAGTGAGTATGTTACTGTTGTACTGCCCAACAGTGGGTATGTTACTGTTGTACTGCCCAACAGTGAGTATGTTACTGTTGTACTGCCCAACAGTGAGTATGTTACTGTTGTACTGCCCAACAGTGAGTATGTTACTGTTGTACTGCCCAACAGTGAGTATGTTACTGTTTGTACTGCCCAACAGTGAGTATGTTACTGTTGTACTGCCCAACAGTGAGTATGTTACTCTTGTACTGCCCAACAGTGAGTATGTTACTGTTGTACTGCCAACAGTGGGTATGTTACTGTTGTACTGCCCAACAGTGAGTATGTTACTGTTGTACTGCCCAACAGTGGGTATGTTACTGTTGTACTGCCCAACAGTGAGTATGTTACTGTTGTACTGCCCAACAGTGAGTATGTTTACTGTTGTACTGCCCAACAGTGAGTATGTTAACTGTGTACTGCCCAACAGTGGGTATGTTACTGTTGTACTGCCCAAACAGTGGGTATGTTACTGTTGTACTGCCCAACAGTGAGTATGTTACTGTTGTACTGCCCAACAGTGAGTATGTTACTGTTGTACTGCCCAACAGTGAGTATGTTACTGTTGTACTGCCCAACAGTGAGTATGTTACTGTTGTACTGCCCAACAGTGAGTATGTTACTGTTGTACTGCCCAACAGTGAGTATGTTTACTGTTGTACTGCCCAACAGTGAGTATGTTACTGTTGTACTGCCCAACAGTGGGTATGTTACTGTTGTACTGCCCAACAGTGAGTATGTTACTGTTGTACTGCCCAACATGTGAGTATGTTACTGTTGTACTGCCCAACAGTGAGTATGTTACTGTTGTACTGCCCAACAGTGAGTATGTTACTGTTGTACTGCCCAACAGTGAGTATGTTACTGTTATTATTATTATTATTATTATTATTATTATTATTATTATTATTATTATTATTATTATTATTATTATTATTATTATTATTATTATTATTGCTACTACCACCAGATATTACACACAATACCCATTTTATTACCCACAATACCCACTTACCTACCTACCCACAATACCCTCTTTATTACCCACAATACCCAGCTGAGTGCCCTGGTGTGACTAGTGCTTCTCTGATGCCAGGTACAACCTGGACCGGGACCAGGTGACGTACGGGTTGCCCACCGCGGACGTGCGGGGCACTGTCCTGGGCGACCAGTGCCCAGTGGAGGTTGACTTTCCCTGCCAGCCCAGGAAGTACCGAGCCTTCAACGGCTACTGCAACAATGTACAGAACCCTAAATGGGGCAATGCCCTGACTCGGTACCTGCGCTTCCTGCCTGCCAGCTACGGTGATGGGGTATCAGTGCCCCGCCAGGCCACTGGGGGAGCATTCCTGCCCTCAGCGAGGAGTGTCAGCCTGGCAATGCATGCCCGGGCAAGTGATACACAGCATAAGTTCATGACAGCGATGGCGGGCATCTTTGGGCAGTTCGTGTCGCACGACCTGACGCACGCACCACAGATGGCAGGTTAGTGTGGGAAGGTGCCCCAGGCAGGATTCTGCATGCTAGGTATGTCCGGTTGGCAGTCTTAATGTGCCCAAGGCAGGACTCCACATGCTGGGTATGTCTTGTTACAGTCTTAATGTGCCCGGGGTAGGACTCTGCATGCTGGGTATGTCTTGTTTCAGTCTTGATGTGCCCAAGGCAGTACTCTGCATGCTGGGTATGTCTTGTTTCAGTCTTGATGTGCCCAGGGCAGTACTCTGCATGCTGGGTATGTCTTGTTACAGTCTTGATGTGCCCAGGGCAGGACTCTGCATGCTGGGTATGTCTTGTTACAGTCTTGATGTGCCCAGGGCAGGACTCTGCATGCTGGGTATGTCTTGTTTCAGTCTTGATGTGCCCAGGGCAGGACTCTGCATGCTGGGTATGTTTTTGTTACAGTCTTGAGTGCCCAGGGCAGACTCTGCATGCGGGTATGTCTTGTTACAGTCTTGATGTGCCCAGGCAGACTCTGCATGCTGGTATGTTTTTGTTTCAGTCTTGATGTGCCCAGGGCAGGACTCTGCATGCTGGGGATGTCTTGTTACAGTCTTGATGTGCCCAGGGCAGGACTCTGCATGCGGGTATGTCTTGTTTACAGTCTTGATGGTGCCCAGGGCAGGACTCTGCATGCGGGGTATGTCTTGTTACAGTCTGATGTGCCCAGGCAGGACTCTGCATGCTGGGTATGTCTTGTTACAGTCTTGATTGCCCAGGGGAGGACTCTGCATGCTGGGTATGTCTTGTTTACAGTCTTGATGTGCCCAAAGCAGGACTCTGCATGCTGGTATGTCTTTTTTCAGTCTTGATGTGCCCAGGGCAGGACTCTGCATGCTGGGTATGTCTTGTTACAGTCTTGATGTGCCCAGGGCAGGACTCTGCATGCTGGGTATGTCTTGTTACAGTCTTGATGTGCCCAGGGAAGGACTCTGCATGCGGGGTATGTCTTGTTACAGTCTTGATGTGCCCAGGGCAGGACTCTGCATGCGGGTTTTGTCTTGTTTTCAGTCTTGAGTGCCCAGGGCAGGACTCTGCATGCTGGGTATGTCTTGTTACAGTCTTGATGTGCCCAGGGCAGGACTCTGCATGCTGGGTATGTCTTGTTACAGTCTTGATGTGCCCAGGGCAGGACTCCTGCATGCTGGGTATGTCCCTTTTTACAGTCTTGATGTGCCCAGGGCAGGACTCTGCATGCTGGGTATGTCTTTTTACAGTCTTGATGTGCCCAGGCAGGACTCTGCATGCTGGGTATGTCTTGTTTCAGTCTTGATGTGCCCAGGGCAGGACTCTGCATGCTGGGTATGTCTTGTTACAGTCTTGATGTGCCCAGGGCAGGACTCTGCATGCTGGGTATGTCTTGTTACAGTCTTGATGTGCCCAGGGCAGGACTCTGCATGCTGGTATGTCTTGTTACAGTCCTTGATGTGCCCAGGGGAGGACTCTGCATGCTGGGTATGTCCCTTTTTACAGTCTTGATGTGCCCAGGGCAAAGGGCTCTGCATGCTGGGTATGTCTTGTTACAGTCTTGATGTGCCCAGGGCAGGACTCTGCTGCTGGGTAAAGTCTTGTTACAGTCTTGATGTGCCCAGGGCAGGGCTCTGCATGCTGGTATGTCTTGTTACAGTCTTGATGTGCCCAGGGCAGGACCTCTGCATGCTGGGTATGTCTTGTTACAGTCTTGAAAGTGCCCAGGGCAGGACTCTGCATGCTGGTATGTCTTGTTACAGTCTTGATGTGCCCCGGGCAGGACTCTGCATGCTGGGGATGTCTTGTTACATCTGATGTGCCCAGGGCAGGACTCTGCTGCTGGGGATGTCTTGTTACAGTCTTGATGTGCCCAGGGCAGGACTCTGCATGCTGGGGATGTCCTTGTTACCCGTCTTGATGTGCCCAGGGGAGGACTCTGCATGCTGGGGATGTCTTGTTACAGTCTTGATGTGCCCAGGGCAGGACTCTGCATCGGGTATGTCCCTTTTTACAGTCTTGATGTGCCCAGGGCAGGACTCTGCATGCTGGGTATGTCTTTGTTTTCAGTCTTGATGTGCCCAGGGCAGGACTCTGCATGCTGGGTATGTCTTGTTACAGTCTTGATGTGCCCAGGGCAGGACTCCCGCATGCTGGGTATGTCCCTTTTTAACAGTCTTGTGTCCCAGGGCAGGGCTCTGCCCTGCTGGGTATGTCTTGTTACAGTCCCTTTATGTGCCCAGGGCAGGACTCTGCATGCTGGTATGTCTTGTTACAGTCTTGATGTGCCCAGGGCAGGACTCTGCATGCTGGGTATGTCTTGTTACAGTCTTGATGTGCCCAGGGCAGGACTCTGCATGCTGGTATGTCCCTTTTTACAGTCCTTGATGTGCCCAGGCAGGACTCTGCATGCTGGGGATGTCTTGTTACAGTCTTGAGTGCCCAGGGCAGGACTCTGGGATGCTGGGTAATGTCCTTGTTACAGTCTTTGATGTGCCCAGGGCAGGACTCTGCATGCTGGGTATGTCTTGTTACAGTCTTGATGTGCCCAGGGCAGGACTCTGCATGCTGGGTATGTCTTGTTACAGTCTTGATGTGCCCACGGCAGGGCTCTGCATGCTGGGTATGTCTTGTTACAGTCTTGATGTGCCCCGGGCAGGACTCTGCATGCCCGGGTATGTCTTTTTTACAGTCTTGATGTGCCCAGGCAGGGCTCTGCATGCTGGGTATGTCTTGTTACAGTCTTGATGTGCCCCCGGGGAGGACTCTGCATGCTGGGTATGTCTTGTTACAGTCTTGATGTGCCCAGGCAGGACTCTGCATGCTGGTAGTCTTTTTACAGTCTTGATGTGCCCAGGGCAGGACTCTGCATGCTGGGTATGTCTTGTTACAGTCTTGATGTGCCCAGGGCAGGACTCTGCATGCTGGGTATGTCTTGTTACAGTCTTTATTGTCCAGGCAGGACTCTGCATGCTGGGTATGTCTTGTTACAGTCTTGATGTGCCCAGGGCAGGACTCTGCATGCTGGGTATGTCTTGTTACAGTCTTGATGTGCCCAGGGCAGGACTCTGCATGCTGGGTATGTCTTGTTACAGTCTTGATGTGCCCAGGGCAGGACTCTGCATGCTGGGTATGTCTTGTTACAGTCTTGATGTGCCCAGGGCAGGACTCTGCATGCTGGGTAGTCTTGTTACAGCTTGATGTCCCAGGCAGGACTTTTGCATGCTGGGGAGTCTTGTTACAGTCTTGATGTGCCCAGGGCAGGACCTGCATGCGGGGTATGTCTTGTTACAGTCTTGATGTGCCCAGGGGAGGACTCTGCCCTGCGGGGTATGTCTTGTTTTCAGTCTTGATGTGCCCCGGGCAGGACCTCTGCATGCTGGGTATGTCTTGTTACAGTCTTGATGTGCCCAGGGCAGGGACTCTGCATGCTGGGTATGTCTTGTTACAGTCTTGGGTGTGCCCAGGGCAGGACTCTGCATGCTGGGTATGTCTTTTTACAGTCTTGATGTGCCCAGGGGAGGACCTGCATGCTGGGTATGTCTTGTTTCAGTCTTGAAAGTGCCCAGGCAGGACTCTGCATGCTGGGGATGTCTTGTTACAGTCTTGATGTGCCCAGGGCAGGACTCTGCAAAGCTGGGGATGTCTTGTTACAGTCTTGATGTGCCCAGGGGAGGGCTCTGCATGCTGGTAGTCTTGTTACAGTCTTGATGGCCCAGGCAGGACTCTGCATGCTGGGTATGTCTTGTTACAGTCTTGATGTGCCCAGGGCAGGACTCTGCATGCTGGGTATGTCTTGTTACAGTCTTGATGTGCCCAGGGCAGGACTCTGCATGCTGGGTATGTCTTGTTACAGTCTTGATGTGCCCAGGGCAGGACTCTGCATGCTGGGTATGTCTTGTTACAGTCTTGATGTGCCCAGGGCAGGACTCTGCATGCTGGGTATGTCTTGTTACAGTCTTGATGTGCCCAGGGCAGGACTCTGCATGCTGGGTATGTCCCTTTTTACAGTCTTGATGTGCCCAGGGCAGGACTCTGCATGCTGGGTATGTCTTGTTTCAGTCTTGATGTGCCCAGGGCAGGACTCTGCATGCTGGGTATGTCTTGTTTCAGTCTTGATGTGCCCAGGGCAGGACTCTGCATGCTGGGTATGTCTTGTTACAGTCTTGATGTGCCCAGGGCAGGACTCTGCATGCTGGGTATGTCTTGTTTCAGTCTTGATGTGCCCAGGGCAGGACTCTGCATGCTGGGGATTTCTTGTTACAGTCTTGATGTGCCCAGGCAGGACCTGCATGCTGGGTATGTTTTGTTACAGTCTTGATGTCCCAGGGCAGGACTCTGCATGCTGGGTATGTCTTTTTTACAGTCTTATGTGCCCAGGGGAGGACCTGCATGCTGGGGATGTCTTGTTACAGTCTTGATGTGCCCAGGGCAGGACTCTGCATGCTGGGTATGTCTTGTTACAGTCTTGATGTGCCCAGGGCAGGACTCTGCATGCTGGGTATGTCTTGTTGATAGTGTTAATGTTGAGGAAAATACAGTAATAGTGTCTCTCACTCTCTCACTCTCTCACTCTTCACTCTCTCACTCCCTCACTCTCTCACTCTCTCACTCTCTCACCCCTCCTCTCTCCTCTCTCAAATCTCTCACTCTCTCACTCTCTTTACTCCCTCACTCTCTCACTCTCTCACTCTCTCACTCCCTCACCTCTCACTCCTCACTCTCTCCACTCTCTCACTCTCTCTCTTCCTCTCTCACTCTCTCACTCTCTCACTCTCTCACTCTCTCACTCCTCACTCTCTCACTCTCTCACTCCCTCACTCTCTCACTCTCTCACTCTCTCACTCTCTCACTCCCTCCCCTCTCACTCTCTCACCCTCACTCTCTCACCTCTCACCTCTCACTCCCACTCTCCCCACTCTCTCACTCTCTCACTCCCACTTTTCTCACTCTCTCTCACTCTCCACTCCTCACTCTCTCACTCTCTCATCTCTCACCCTCACTCTCTCTCACTCTCTCACTCCCCTCA